CTGGGAATTAAAAGCAGCCCTGGAAAAAAAATATTTACCAGCCCCATAATGCGTCGTGCCAGCATAGTGTGCAGATACAGAGTTAGAACAGATAAATTAAAATTAAAAAGTACTTCAACGTAAAAAGCGCACTCATAGGCTTCAAAATAAACAAAAGTGCAGATTTATTTTAAGCAGACGTGCCTTTGCATGTAATCAATGTTTCAGTCCAACTACCTTGACATATTAAGGAAAGCTTGTTAATGGGACTGAAATGGTGAATGTATGTAGGGCACAACTGAAAAAATGTTTATTTTGAAGTCCTGTGGGTGTGCTCTTCACTTTAAATATGTTATTGTGCTGGAGTATGCACCTAGCAACAAGACTGGGCCAATATCTGCTCATTACATATGGTACATATTAATGACATTCCTCTGTGTATTATGCATATATAAATGTACATTAATATGTGTAAATAAATATATATATATATATAACTAATACACACATTAATATACATGTCATATACCAGTGGCGGATCCAGAGCCTGAGCCTGGGAGGGGCACTTGTAGATTATTTAAATAAATATTCCATGCACAATAACCACTACTCCTCTGTGTAGTGGTTATGGTGCCAGGAGTGTCTGCAATTGCTCCGTTGCCCCCCCATCCACCAGTAATATATACTGCCCCTATGTGTGTCTCTTTATCTTCAGCCCCATCTATGTGCCTTTTTGTCTCCCCCAGTCACTCTGTATGTTTCTTTCTCCCCCTCACTGCTCCTCTGTGTCAATGTCTCCTCTCTCCTTCCCAGTCTCTCTCTTCCCCCTCTGCCTCTTTCTTCCCCTCCCCTTGTGTGTCTCTCTCATTTCTCCCTCTTTGTCCCTCCCTCCCCCCTTTCTCTGTGTCTCTCCCCTCCTCTCTCCCTCCCCCTTTCCCTGTGTCTCTCCCCTCCTCTCTCCCTCCCCCCTCCTCTCTCCCTGTGTCTCTCCCCTCTCTCCCTCCCCCCTTTCCTGTGTCTCTCCCATCTCTCTCCCTCCCCTTTCCCTGTGTCTCTCCCATCCTCCCTCCCCTTTCCTGTGTCTCTCCCATCTCTCTCCCTCCCCTTTTCCTGTGTCTCTCCCCATCTCTCTCCCTCCCTCTCCTGTGTCTCTCCCTCCTCCCTCCCTCTATTCCCCCCTCTGTTTTATTCCCCCCCCCCCTTTTACCTAGAGAAGTCAGAGGGGGCTGGCCGCATTCCAGGCTGGAGCCGCCGGGCCGGGTGGCAGCTTCACCCGGTCCGGCGGCACTCCTGTCACTGCTGTGGCTGATGGCTGAAGGAGGAGGAGCATGTCTACCATGCTCCCTCGCGGTTCCCACAATTCCCAGCACAGGAACCGCGAGGGAGCATGGTAGACATGCACCTCCTCCTTCAGCCATCAGCCACAGCAGTGACAGGAGTGCCGCCGGACTGGCGAAGTTGCCACCTGGCCCGGCGGCTCCAGCCTGGAATGCGGCCGGCCCCCTCTGAGTGCCACCAGACCAGCCACCGGTATCCCGGTGGGCCAGTCCGGCCCTGTATACAATCCAAGTTTATGTTGAAAAGCAATTTTTTGTATAGTCACATTTCATGTTTTTAAATTAAACAGAACAAAATTGATACTAACAAGACATAACTATTTGTATAAAATCAACAAATAAAATCAAGCTAAACATGACTTTATCTGACACCATAGAAAGTATTTACAAGGAAAACCAGATGTTATTTGGGGTACAAAATCTTAAAATACATAACTGTTTCCATGGTGATTGTTCATTATTAAGAACTCAAAAATAGCACCTGTTTTGCCTTGATAAATCTCTCCCTAAATTCTTAAACAGAACAAACGAAAGTGGCTTATTGATGTGCATGTGCACGCGCACACACACACACACCTTTTCTATGTACCTATCCATCACAGCAGCTATTAGCAATGTATTTATGGAGATTAGGAGCTTGGCATCTCTTTCTGTAAATGATTGTTTAATTAATTCTTTCAAGCCATTATAATTAGTTGGCTTAGATTTATTCTGACAAGAATTTCAGCATCAAAGGAAAGTAAGACAATTATAAATCCCGATTTTATAGTTTGTCTCTGGGAAATACCTGCTGCAGTGGGGTATACAGGTATCTGATAATTATAAAAATTACCTAAACTGTATTTTTCATCCAGAATAATATGGAAAATATTCTACTTGTGTGTTACAGTGTTATGCTCATTGTGACTAGAACACAGAGATGATTTAAATGGGTATGTCACTTCCCTGGATTCTTAATATTATGCTTACTAATCCCTTTGTGATATGTCAAAAATAAAATTAAATGTATTATTATTGCCGTCATTTATATAGTGCCAACATATTGGCCGTGGCTTTACAATTATAGAAAGGGGATATTTGACAACAAGTAAATAACATACAGAAAATTAAGAGACAGAGGCGAAGAAGGTCCTCCTCAAAAAGTTAATGATCTGAGTAGGAATCCACATCTTTGGCAATCAGGTGGATGTTACTTTGACACGTACCACCTACCTAGAGATTGTTGCATTCCTTCGTGGCAATGGTGTTCCCTGATGGCAGTGGCCTCTTTCAGCAGAATAATGCACACTGCCATACTGCAAAAATTGCTCAGAAATGGTTTGAGTAACATGAGAACATGAGGTGTTGCCTTGGCCTCTAGATTCCCCAAATCTCAATCCGATTGAGCATCTGTGGGATGTGCTGTAACAGCAAAACCAATCCAAAGCCATGATAGTTGTTTTGGTGACTACAGTGTCCCTTTAAGTACAAGATTATATCTATCTATGCAATATTTACTGTTGTTCATCACCTACATATTTCAAATAAGACCTTGGAAAACATCTGCCTTGGAGACAACAATTCAGTTCCCCAGACTTCCCAGCTCTAATTAGTGTAGTCATTGTGTCTTAGATTTCACCCTGCATTTCTGCAGGCACCCTTGGCAATGGAGCATTGTTTTAAACCAAAATGTGGGTTATTATTCAAAAGGACCAATAACCAGAAATCAACACATTTTTACCTATGTAGTTTCTTCACTATGGTGTTGGCCTCTGGTCTTTAAGTTGGAGTCTTTCTTTCAGCATATAGGTAATAACTAAATAAGTTGTGGTGAGACCAAACATAGTGTACATCATCTACATATCTAAAGTAGGACTTTAGAAAACATCCACCTTGGGCATAATAATTCCAAGACAACATGCATGTTTAAGTGAGTGCAGCCTTCTTGGTTTCATGTGTAAATATGTTTGGGGTTTCAAGCCAACACCTTTGGTTTACACCCCTCACTGCCCAAGGTGCCCCATTCCAGGTCCGTATTTAAAGGGACACTATAGGCACCCAGACCACTTCAGCTTATTGTGCATTGTACACAGGGCCGGTGCAAGGATTTTTGCCGCCCTAGGCAAAAGAAAGATTTGCCGCCCCCCCTCCCATCGCAATGCCCCACCCATATGATCTGCCATATGAACTAGTGCCAGTGCTGCACACAGTGTATGCTTACATTAAAAAGCCTGCAGGGACAAACTATAGACACCAGAACAACTTTATTAAGCTGCAGTGGTTCTGGGGACTATAGTGTCCATTTATTGTGAGGTAAAATAGAGATTAGTGTCACTAATAATATACTAGATTGCCTACTTACAATCAGATGAGGATGGTGATGGGCTCTGGCTGCAGTCTGGCTCCACTGGTCTGGTGTAGAGCAGGATCTCTGGAGGCTGTTTGTAACTGTGGTCACAAAATTCAATGTTCTGGGAGAACGGGAAGCAGCTCCATTTTTGGGGGCCTCTTACATAGCTCAAGGTCTGGGCCCCAGGGCCTGAAGGTGAGTATGCCCATAAAGCCCACCCATACGTCCACCTACATGTTCCACCCATGAGTTCGCTCACAGGGAGTAGAGTGTGTAGGGGATGTGTTATTTGTTACTGTAGAGGATCTAATGTGTGTGCTTATGGAATGTAGTGTATAGGGATACCAGTTTGTGTAGGTGATGCAGTGTGTTTGTGTGTAGTGGAAGCAGTGTGTTTTTGTGTAAGGGATAGAAAGCAGTGAGTGTTTGTGTAAGGGATGTATTGTGTGTTTCTTGTTGTGTGTAAGGGATGCATTGTGTGAATCTGTGTTTTGTATGCATAAGGGATGCAAAGTGTGTTTCTGTGTATGTAAGGGATGCAGTGTGTGTGTCTGTAAGGGGTGTGTTGAGTGTGTGTAAGAGATGCATTGTGTTTCTGTGTGTGTGTGTAAGAGAAGCAGTGTGTGTTTGCATGTGTGTGTAAGGGATGCATTGTGTGTTTCTGTGTATATGTGCAAAGGATGCATTGTCTTTATGTGTAAGGGTTGCATTGTGTGTTTCTCTCTGTGTAAGGGAAGCATGTTGTGTTTCTGTGTGTATAGGGATGCATTGTGTGTGTGTGTGTGTGTGTGTGCGCGTGGTGTGAAAGAGCTCCCTGTCCTGCCCCCTGTCCTATAGAGCTCTCCCTTCCATTCCTTAGAGATCTCCCCTGCCCCTTAGTGGTCTCTCCTCTCCCCCCCACCTCCCTTAGTGGTCTCCTTTTCTCCCCGACTTTGCATTAGTGGTCTCTCCTCTCCCCCAACCCTCCCCTAGTGGTCTATCCTCCACCGCCCTCCCTTAGCGGTCTCTCCTCACACCCCTCCCCTAGTGGTCTCTCCACCGGCCCCTCCCTCCTTTAGTGGTCTCTCCCTCCCCTACGTTCTCATCTCCCACCCCCCGTGTTCTCCTCTTATTCCCCCCTCCCTGTGTTCTCCTCTTCTTCTCCCCCAGTGTTCTCCTCTTATTCCCCCCTCCCTGTGTTCTCCTCTTCTTC